CCAACCTCTCAATCCATCTTCCCTCTTTTGAAATCTTTGAGGATGATGATGGTGAAGATAAAGCATGTAACCTCATCCCCAGGTAGTTGTCAAGACGACCTGTGTGCTCCGAGGTTGAAGAAGATTTGAGGATGACTCAGCTTCTAAGTCAACTTAACCAATCCAGAGTAAAAATTCCTCTTCGTATCTCTGGATGTGGTAAGTTCGACTTCCTCTCTTAGCTGAATGTGAGGAATCCTTGAAAACTGAACGAGAGCTAAAGCAACATCAGCAGCAACTACAAGACATTTGGAGTATCCAAACTCTAGTTGAACAAGCTCATGCAGAAGGGATGTTCATGCATAATGATCCCCTCAGTGTTCAAGCCCTACTCTGGAAGAAGTTGAACAGAAAAGACAAAGGGTGTTGAAGCTGAAGGATCAATGATCCAAATTGGTACAAAGAAAGGATCGAAACAAGAATGAGCCATCACAAGATTTCAAACGTCACAATCAGTGGAGGAATGAAAGATGGTGTCCTAATTTCTATGGTCATCTTCCGAGAGAACAACGATGTTGTCACTGAGTATCCCTCCTTCCTTCGTCAGTATGGTTTCTATGAATGGCTTGAGATTCGACAGGCAATTCAAAAGTCCAAATGTAAGCATAAGGCTTACATTGAAGAAGTTCTTAATTAACTATTCAACAAAGTGTCGAAGATCATTAAGGTTCCTCCTCTGCCACATAAGTCCTCTCGAAAAAGAAACCTTTTTGCTCATGGAGAAGGTTCGTCCCACAGAAAAGAGCATGAAACTTTTTTTTCAGTGGATGAGCTCTTCAAGAACAAGAAGAAGCCAAATATCTCAATGTTGAATTTATCACCGCATGAAAAGGGACCTTTTATTTCCAATACAGTGCATGTGAAACGTGAATATGGACTTATATTCATTGACTATGATGATCAATACAAGTTTCAGCGAGTGTCTGAGCTCCATCTCTGCCCAATAGATCATTTAGAGTATCTTCGAACTTGGCTGAACGAAGATCTCTGTAGAGAGATGATGGATCGCAGGATTCAAAAGAAAATGCTCAGAAAAAAGATTCGAGGAGAAGATGTCCCTGACTACATCAACTTCAACAATCTAGATTAGAAAGCCTTTCAATCTTGTAAACAATGTACATATTTTATCTCTTCTTTCAATGTACAGTTTTTATATATTAAGCCTACCAAAACCAATTGTAATCTTTTGTAATATTTTGTCTTGAATGACATTTCAATATAATGATTGGTTCACTGAAAAAGATCCTTGAAAAGTGTAAATGGGATATGTACTTATGTATTCTATTTATTCTTCACATTCTCTGATATCTTTCTTGTTAGTGAATATTGTTGGGTCACCTATTGATTTGGTGATGACCCAATGATCTGTTCCTCTACATTAGCAACACTTAGTAGTTATTGGTTCTTTGTATATTGGTGTCTTGGTACATACTTAAGCCATTGGCAAAATCGAAGACTAGCCGATGTGATGACAGAAGGTTACCGATGCGGTGTTGTGGATCAATTGTCTAATATACACACCAAGACTCTAAAGTAGCGGAAATGCATATTGAAAATATTTTGAAGCTACAAGCTGATTGAAGGAAGATCTTCATAGACCGAAGATTGAAAATCTTCATGAACTCAAGATTGAAGATCATGGACCGAAGATTGAAAATCTTCATGGACTCAAGATTGAAGATCATGGACCAAAGATTGAAAAATCTTCATGGACCCAAGATTGAAGATCTTCATGGACCGAAGATTGAAAATCTTCATGGACCAGAGATTTATGAGTAGCTGATTGAAGCTACTAATCCATCCAAAGAAGATCTTCCTATAGACTGACCATATCTCTGCAAAAGTTTGTCTCTGCATGAACAGTATTGTATGCACGATGTGTACGATGAAAATGAGATATCAACAATGGTCAAGTCAACCCCTGCCTTCTTATCCTCAGGTGACAAGTGTCCCCATGCATTAATTACTTAGTGAATTCTTAAGACAATCGTCTATTCTCTTCTACTCCCTTGCTCCTGTGTGAGAAGAAAATCTTAGTGTTCTTCATTTCCTTTCAAGAACTCTTTKTRBTRYTMTTGWAAGTTMTTCTCCTTGTAAGATTGTTTAGGTTAGGTTTTCCTTTCCTATCTTCCGCAACAATCTTTTGTATTTCTGTGTGTATTAATTCTTGATATAAATCAATAAGAATTAAAAAAGTTGAAAAAAGTCTGTGTAATTGTATTCAACCCCCCCTTCTACAATTACTTTCTATTTATTGTCAGCCCATTCGGGACTAACAAATATGCTCTCAGTGTTAAGTTATTCATATTATGTAAATTTATTTTTTCCTTGTAATCATTTACAAATAAGTGAATTTTCATAATAAACTCTATCACTAAAAAAGATCCCAAAACAGTAAAAAGGGACATTGTATTTTACTAGTACCTTTTTCCATACTGTATCAACTAAGCAATTTTCTTTATGTTGCTTTGTCATCATCAAATAGGGGGAGATTGTTGATCCTCTCTCTCAGTGATTTGATGATGATCCTCTTTATCTAATGAAAAGTACTTAGTTCTCTTTATTCAGTTTCAGCGATCATCACTGAGTCTGTTCAGTGATTGCTGAACAAGTATTGTCCATTCTCAAGAGACAAATATTCTTCAAGAAGACAAAACTCACACCACAAGAACCTTCAGTAATATCGAAGATAAAGCTGAAGATAGAGACAAGAAGTTCATGATCTGATATGATTTCAGTGATAACAAGCCTGTCTACAAACATGTGTGAAGTCTACTCAAGATTCAGCATACACTGAAGAAACTTTAGAGTTATTCCAGTGTTAGCGATCAAATGAATCTTGTTGTTTAAGATAAGTTTTTGTCTTATCCTCCTGCACACAAAGGACAAACTCATACATCTCAAAGTAAAGCACTCATACGGAGTCACCTTATTGTATCCAAACATGTGTTACCTACTTTGTGAAAGACCACTGTTCATATGCGGCCAAGTCTATATATTTGAAGACAATTGACAAGCTCACCTCTAGAAGCTTGTCACGTGCCTTGTACTGTCTGACTTGCATTTAATGTAATGGGTATAAATAGCCATGAAGACTCTATTCTTCACAATAGACTTCAGATCTTCAAATACCCAAGAAGAGAGACACGTACAAGCACAGATTTCTTAACCTTGCGAGGTTACATTACTTCAAGTGAAGAACACCAACTAAGCTTTCCCTCTAGCGAAGTTATTGCTTCTTGTTTTTAGCAAGTCTTTTCTTCATTGCTATCTGTATCTTGTGTGTTCCTTAGACTGTTTTAGATAAGTTATGTATGTTGTCTTATTCCGCAAACAATATGTAAATTTTGTATTGATCTTCTTTATCAGTAAAGAATTTTAAAAAGTGAAAATATTTGTGTGTTTGTATTTATCCCCCTCCCCCCTCCACAAACTGTTACATTTAAACTCTTGTAGATTCGTCTGGGACCAACACAATCACACGACAAGTGGCACGACCCATTAATAGGTGTCCAGACAAGTGCAGGTCGGACAACATAGGGAATGCAATGACAAAACGACCCATACTTAACCAGACATTTTATGAGATCTTTTTTCTTTCAGTGTTGCATGTTTTTCATAAAAATGCATATTATTTGGTAAGAAGTTTACAAGTTGATTTGTATGATGTAAAATGATTTTTATTCACGCAAACTATAAACTCACTAAGCTTTATAAGCCAACTATAGTATGCATCTTAAAGAACAAAAGGTTTCAGGTTGGACAAAGGGAAATGACACACATAGGGACTTGCCTAGCCCATCTAAGTTCACTATTTATGTTCAGACATATATGATAGATAAATTTGTAACATAATCCAGCATGGAATGGATCAGAATTAAGTTACATATTCATTGTTTTAGAGTTTTCCATTGTAAACGTTTGAAATTTTAATTTAGCCGTTATTTTGGAGTAGTTTTTGGAGAAACTGTTTTAGATTACGTAACATTTCTCATGATAAAAATATAGATGTTATAGTACTAATTTGAGGGTTCTCTCTCTATATATATATAATGTTAGGTTCAAATAAGAATTACATTTATTTTGGAAATGTGTATATGAATCTCATCCATTATGTTAGTATTTTTATTTCCAAGGCTTTTTGTTCAAGTAAAAGACATGTAATATATAGTAATTAAGATAATTCTAGGAAAAAACACATCTTAATTTATCTTCTCTTTTGTCCAGAACCATTTTTGGATATTAACAATTATCGATTTTTGATTCAATCTTCCGCAATAAAATCAACAACTTTATAGTCGAGTAACTGAATTAAATCTCATTTACCTAAATCTCACCTGCAAACACAAACATCAATATTATTTATTGATCGTTTTGAAATGACTCCCAACAAACCATTAAATCTCATTTGTAAACTTGATTAGAACGAGTCGGGTCACCAAATACTGTAACCCGATAAGCTCATGACATACTCTTAACTGCTTTTATATGTAATTAGTTTTGTGATAAATTTGTAAAATATAAAGTATAAAATTATTAACACATTCAATTCAATCGACTTGACGAACATCCAACTGATTCGACATACTAATGAATCAAGTCTGGATTTAAACTACTCACGTAGGTGGTCTTATAAGCATGCCAGACATGCCCAATGTCTTCTATTTGATGACTTATTTTCTTATTTGTTCTATAATAATTATTACATGATCTTGTCGTCTTTATTAAAGGCTGTGCATCTCCATTTCTTTTGCACATAGGACCCGCCAAGAGTCCCAATAGGCCATAAATGAGAACAGGTGTATATTAAATTGAGAAAACCGATCCCTTAAAACCGGGACCGGCTGATCCCGGAACTGGCCCGGTCCCAAAGTGTAAGTGGTTCTGGACCCCAACCGGTCCCGGAATTCGGCCATCTCTGGATCATATAAATAAAACTAATAAAAAAGAAACAGAGCATCTGCAAAAGTGAAAAAACCTTCTACCTTCTTCATCTGATGTATGCCATTTGACTACAAAAACATCCTTCCTATACAATGAGATAAAACTTAATAACAAAATACCACCTTTGCAATGAATCAATCTTTCTTCTTCTTCTTCTTCTATAAACTTCCTAATCACAACTACCAAAAAATAAAAACTTTTCAAGAGTAACTGATTCCGTTTTTGTTAATAACGTATCCTTCAAGACGCTGAATACAACAGTTATATCGTGTCATCCCATCACGTGGTATAACGAAACAATTTTTAATTACTAAATCTCTCATCTTGTATCTGTGTTTTTGTTTGAGCATGAAATGTGATTAATTTTTTTCAGTCATATTAGTATGATGACACGATATAGTCGTTATACGCAGTATTAACTTCATACATCAAGGGAAACCGTAAAAAGAACCTTGATTAAGCTTGAAATAGGTATTTCAGATCGTCGACTGTAAGCCGAGTCTGACTGCTTCCAGTCTCATCCTCCCCAAATGCTGATGAGACCATCTCCCTCTTTTTTTGCTGCAAAAACCCAAAAAAGAAACAATACTTAAATAATTTCAGTAATTTTAAAAGGGTGCACGAAGAAATTTTGAAGCTAAAAGACCCAATTTACCATATCCAATGCTTCCGAACATAACAAACCTACCTTCCTAGTTTCATAAATTGCAACAATTAGTTAGGGGTCCGGTCTATTTTCAAGCTAAAACAACTTGTTTGCGCATTATTTTAAATATTTGTAGATGGTATTTTGGTCACACATCAATAGAGGTTTTGTTCAATGAATTACGGACATTTGACTAATAACAATAATACTTCTATCAAACTGATTGCAACAGATGAACTTTTTATGAAGTTAAAACATTTCTGCTCAAATGGCAAAAATGAAGATAGCAATTAAACATTCTTAAACAAGTGGAAGAAATGAAACTTACAGATGGAAATGTTGGTGATTTTAGTGAATCATCAGGCCGTTTTGTGTAATTAGATTCACAAGAGAATCAAAGGTTGATAGTTAGGTAATAATACGGGTTAGGAGGTGCGGGGTGCACACTTGTATAAGCTAGCTAGAACCCATAGTCGCTGGATGTCACCATATGGGGGGGTCAAGGGGCAGCGCCCCTGGAGGTGGTTCCACTGTGCTTTCTGAAGTTTCTAAGTCTAAATAGTTCAGAAGGCAAAGTTTAGAAAGCCTTCGTTTCTGAAAGCAGAGACTTGAGAAGTCAGACTTGTATTCAGAAGGTAAAATACCTTCTGTACTTTTTGTGCATATAGCATTTTGTAACAGCCCAGTAATTACTCGATTAATTCCGGTTGCCTTTTAAAAGTGCATTTATTCTGCACTTTAATGTACAAGATGTTACAACTTTTCTATTTTTACAAGCTTCTAGTTTCTGCCTAAATCGATAGTGTAAACTGAGATTATCCTTGGTGCTTAGCTTAGCTTACGTAATCTCAGATTCTTTGTCCAGGTTCTATTGTGATCTCTCACGACCCAAACAAGCTTTACACAACAGGAAAATGAGATTAAGGCATTAGATTAGTTTCATGCCCCCACTTCTTCAAACACCATCTTTTGTTTGTAGAATTTCAACCATTCGACATTTTCGTTTTGTGGGTCCAATTTTCAATTTCCCCTTGCATCAAATTTGATTCTCCACATTCCATTATACGTGGAACCACAAATAAAATGGTTATATGGCTAAAGAAAGAACAGGAAACCATCTACAACATTTAGAGACTTGCACACTAGCACCACTAGGGAAGAAAATCTGAGCCATATTACGCAGTCTCAGAAATAAGACTTCAATTTGATGCATATGATTTTGTTCTTCAGTTGAAACAATGAATAGTTGACTACAGTAATAAGAACCAAATCAACCATTCGTGGGCACAAACAGGTCAAATAGAAGGATCATTAGTCAGCATGATACTTGAGATATCCACGACCAATTTGGAATTATAATGCTGTAAACAAGATAATCAATCTATCAGATCCTATTTAAAGGTTCGTCCTTTAATGTCTTTGGGATGGTTAAAGTGTCAATTATTTTCAAATTTATTCCATTTATGCCCTTGTAAGGAGGTGGACGATAAGAGTTTGACTTTGACCTGGAGCGAACAAGAAGTCAATGGAACCAAAAGAGAGAGAAGAGGTTGATAGGGGCATTAGGAAAAATATCATTTGATTCCTCCTAGACTAGCTAGGTGACTAATATTATGGAAATTTTATAAAATACTAATGTTCATTAATATATTGGAACTGAGGAATAAATCTCAATAGTTTTTATTGGGCTCCACAAAGCTGATAAAAAGAAAAAAGCAAAAGATTATGGGATAATACCTGAAGAGCCAATATACGATCTTCAACAGTATCTTTAACAGTCAACCGCAAAACCGAAACTGGACGAGTCTGCCCAATCCGATGAGCTCTATCAATTGCTTGATCTTCAGTTGTTGGGTTCCACCAGAGATCCAGAAGAAGCACATGACAAGCAGCAACCATGTTCAATCCAAGACTTGCTGCTTTCAAAGACATGATCATAACAGAAACCTACAAGAGATAACGGATCTTAGACAGAAGCATATTGTCTGAAATAATTTCAGGAAAAAGAAATAATCAAATAACGAAATAAAAACAAAGAAAGATTCCCACCAACCTCTGGAAGAGTGTTGAAATCCTTCACCGCTTTATCACGTGCAACAACAGACATTGTTCCATCAAGTCTACGATAACCAATAGAAGAATCTTTGAGACAAGCTTCAAGCAAATCCAGCATCCTCGTCCACTGTGAGAAAACGATTGCCTTCTCTCTCACAACTAAGCTTCCTTTGACATTAGCACCCTTGTCAAAAACGCCAGAGGGATCACTCGAACATTTTTCTGGACTGCCAAAGGAACCAGCATTTATTGCTACATCCCGAGGTTTAGCAATAGACTGTAGGACCTCAAGGGCGGCCTTGATTTTAGAGGAATCAAGTGCCTCAGCGGCCTCAATATTCGAGGAATTCACTGATCCACTGGATGAACAAGGCTCAAAAATCTCAGCTTTCAATGAGCCAGAACAATCAAGAGCATTACCCTGATGATATTGGTCACCGAGAGAAATCCTGAGTGTGGATTTAGAAAATACTGATGATGTGTTAAGGATAACTTTGCATTTTGAAGATGGACACTGACTATCATCACTGGAAAGATGTTCAAGGATGCACTGATTGCAGAAAACATGCTCACAAGTTGTCACAACAGCATCTTCAGGTGGATCCTGTGGAACATAACCATATTTCAAAGAAGCTTAATATTGTAGTATAATACTTGAGGATATCATGAAGACAACAACAAAACATCGATGAATAAAAGAATCAAATATCCACAGAAAGAGAGAATGTGCTTAATTGTAAAGAGAATGAAAAAGATCAACATACACTGCATATGCTGCAAATTGCTAAAGAGGCTTCCAAACAATTTAGCAGACGGCTTCGCTTTTCAGGAGGAAGCTTTTTTGCCTTGTCAATGGATGACTTCCACTCAGAGTTTGAGCTACATCCTTTAACAAGTAGAGGGTGATCACAAGCTTGTCGGAGGCGCAAAAGCATCAATAATATGTTTACATAGTTTTGTTTCACTGTTCCAGCAGCTGCATATTCCTGACACAGTGCACCAAGCCTTGATGTCAAATGTTGGGAGGGGAACATCAAAAACTTCAATAGTACAAAAGTCGATTATGATTTGTATATGATAAATATAAATAAGAAGATACAGAACACAATCACACATAATGTCTTTATGCAAGTCTGTAAAGAATGGATAAAATTTTCTTAAGAGATTTACTAGTTGTACGACTTCCTCCAACAATGAGCTTACCTATCTATCACTGTTACATTTTTACTTGGAAATAATATGAAAACAAACCAAAACACTGTTTAAAAAACGCCAGAGGCGTGCCTCAGGGCAATTCGGGCCAAAAACGTTTATGAGGTGCTGCCACTAAGAGACCAGATTGTACGTGCGCCTTGATGGGTGAGGCAGGCTGTGAGGCAGTGGGCCGGTCCAGAGGCGTGTCTCTTCTCCTTTATAAATAACCTTCCTTTTTTTCAGAAAACTAGAAAAACCCTAATACTATTATGGAAACAGAATCGGCGTATGAAACCCAGACTCTTATTCTTCTGCCTACATCAATTCAATACCACACTAGTAAATTAATAAGACTTTTCGACTTCTATTACTTCTCCCCAAGACTCCAACGAACAGTCCACGATTGCTTCTTTGCTCTCCTCTCCAACGATTTCTCTGTTTCTTATGTCTATATTAGTATATACATGCTGTTTTTAGGTATAATCTTTATATGTGTGTGTATATATATATTCTGTTTTATGTACATATCTGCTATATATATATATATATATATATTCTGTTTTTATATAAATTCTGTATAATCTGTTATATATATATATATATATATATATATATTCTGATTTTTGTACATATTCTTGTGACTAATTTGTTTTATGTACATAATCTGTTTTAATATATAAATTATGTACATAATCGTTTTATATGTGTGTGTGTAAATATTCTGAATCATGGGATTTATAGTTTGTTTATTTGTATGGAGATATGAAGTTATGTTTTCTGTTAGGTGCTACAGAATTATAATTTTGTTGTTTAATTTTTTGGGGTGTAAATATTCACCGCCTCGAGGCTTACGCCTCACCTACCTAAGCGAAAAACGCCTCGATGCTCGTTTCCGTTCTTTAAAACCTTGACCAAAACTACAATTATGAAATTAGAAATTATATGTTTTTAATTATATTAGCCTCTCTTTTAGAGTCCAGAAGAAGTACCAGCAGCAAGTGGCCAATGATAGTGGACTTTTGCAACAAGGCAACCTAGATTAATCATCATTAGGTATCTATGTGATCTGAATATTGTTTTCGGGCAGGTTCACAAAAACCAACTAATATTATGTCAAGGTACTATTACTCAGCTCTACTGCTTAAATTAGCATGAACAATATATTTGGGCAAACGTAAGACATAGAGACATAAAGGATCTCAAAACAAACTATTTAGTAGCTTAAATAAAAACATACTGCAAACTGAGCACGAGAATCAGCCTCCAGCCTGCAGTAGAAATCACGTTCCTCGGCCGTGAAATCCACTTTCTTCAGATTAATGGTCTTGGGTGGCAGAGAGATAATTGGTTCTCCATCAAGAAGTGTAGCTGAAGCAAGTATATACCAATAAACAGATTAAGTTCCAGTAACATGCTAACAATCGTTAACAGCTGCACTGACGATAAATTACCTATGACACATATCATATGCTTGCACTATCAAAACATAAACCCAAAGCAGAAGAACATGCAAACCACTGAAGGAAAGGACTTAAGAACAATGCAATAACCAAACTCAGAGAAGTATTTGATCTCCTTTATATAGGGTAATGCGTAAATACTTGGATGTATTTGACAAGGCTTTGCTGGAATGACCTAAACTAACAAAAAGAGATGTCTAAGAAAGCATTTAATTAAAGGATCCATAACAAAATATTCACTATCAGTTTTCTAAGTCTCCCTTCCAAAACAGTCAGGTCAATCGAACTTACATGCTTATAATAAAATATAACAATTCTGCAAATATCTGTGTACTTGAGCAGGGATTCATTATCCCCCAAATAACCCTACTTTAGACTGAAGGTTAAATTTTGAATTGAGCCGGTGAGCCTGCACGAGTAACCGCACCATTTATCCTGGGACAGGAGTGATATTTTTCACTGAAAAATATTCAGAACAAATAACATCTACTCTCTCCCCTCTTGTACCGACCAACATCATCCCTAGTGCATATTCTAAAACTTAGAGCAATCTAAAGGTCCATGATTTCTCAACCTTGGGCACTTAAATACATCAAGAAAAGTGCAGCTGGCACAAAAGTCATAATGTCATAAACATCCCCTATAACATAGCCTCTAACGTCCACAACCAGGTCATGGTCAAACCTCAAGTCCCAATCCTAAATATTTTTTAACCATCAAATGTGCAGCTAAACTGCTAATCAGAGACTCTAGTTACAACAACAATAATCCAAAGTTCAAAGTCGAACGTTTGCATCGAGTCCAAACCCACAAAAAACTAAGAACCCATTCTTTCAAGGAAATTCTGTTGGTTAAATGGCAATAAGCAGGACGAGGGAACCATGGAGAAAAATAACAAAAATAAACAACATAACGATAACAGGGATGATAACAGAGGAATTACATCATGCCCAACTGGAAGCATTTAATGAATTAAAAAGCGTAATCCTCCCATAGCATTCACCTTTCGTACGCCGAAGCATAATAGTCTTCAAGACAGCCTGTAACTTCTTATACCCAGTTCCAGGACTCCTTTGGATAGGGGCCTTTATTGTCGAGCAGAATGATTTATATACAGCATATGGATCATATCTCAAGAACCTGAAGTAGCTATAGAGATCATCAATGGCATTCTGGATAGGAGTCCCTGACAAGCACCACCTACGTTTAGCTCGGAGACCCCAACAAGCCCTAGCTACTTGTGTTCTGTGATTCTTAATACTCTGTGCCTCATCGAGTACTACCCTAAACCATCTCACCTTGGCAAGAGGACGAGCAAGAGATTCGAATAGTTCATTGTCCATTCCCTTCTTGTCCTTCTTGGAACTCTTACTAGAGCTAGGAGGATATTTTCTTTTCTTACCAGGTGAGATCCCAACAGGAAGAAAATCATTACGCCTTCTTGTTTCATCCTCATCCTCATCAACAAGGGGCTGCTTCGGAACCTCCATGCTCACAATTGCATAAGTAGTAAGAACAACATCATACTTCGCTAGCTCAAAAGGGTCCTTGGTTCTGTTTGCGCCATGATAAACTAAAACAGAGAGATTAGCTTCGCTGCTTACTTTGTTGTGCAATTCGTCATTCCATTGACGAAGAACACTAGTAGGGCATACAACAAGGGTCCCTGCAGCTGGCCTACTTTTTGTTTGCATGGAACTGCTCTTAAACTTGATTGAACTTCCATTAGTTTCCATCACATAAGAATTGACCTTTTGCTTGGATTTATCAAGCTCGGTAACAGCATCATCATCATCATCATCCAAATTCAAAGTCTCTGTCTCTATCTTTTTCACTTCAGTAGTACAAACACTAGAAGATGGAGACCTTTCCTTCAGAATAAGAGCAATTGTCGATATTGTTTTACCCAGTCCCTGCCAGAGAACAATCACAAAAAGCCAAATAGACAATGAATAGGCTCATCTATATATTTTGTATAATCAACTAAGACAGAACTATAAAATACGGTGATTGCAAAGCTTAAAGTTATAAATAGAAGGCCAAGCCACCTGGTCATCAGCAAGGATTCCTCCAAAGCAGTGCAGGCTTTTAGTCTCTTTCTGTACCATCCATGACAAAGCAATTCGCTGTCACATATTTCAGGTGAAGTTAGAACCCCACATCCTCAGGACCAAGAAAAACATAAGAAAATCCACGTTTTAAAAACAGAATGCCAGGCTGAATAAAACAAGTGCTGCCAGAAAGCCTTTGATATTCTAGTCAGATCGTTTTGATGAGATAAGTCTAAGAAGCTAATTACAGATCGCGTTCTAGCAAACAGAAGAACCTGATACTGTCCAGACAAAGTGGCATGTTCCATTTCATATGAACACCGTGGAAGTAATATGTAAAGCAATGAGGGGGTGAACCCTGAAAATATAAGTTGCCAAATGTAACATGACCCTCGAATATTTATGTCGAAGACAAAAATGTGACCCATTTTCTTTTAGTGATATTGATCACCCTCCCACTCACCTAACCTGAATTCTCTACTGGCTATGGTGCGTAGCATTTTTCAAGCCAGAATCTCTCCCATAAAAGGTATTCTCCCTCTTGGCACCCCAAGAATCTTAGCCATGAAACACCAATCTGGTTACTTGATACTGAACATTTACTACCACTCTGTTTCATTCGCCGCCCTTTGGATTGCCAGCCAGGATGTCCAATAATCAGAGATAATAACATATCCACCCGCTGAATGGGTAAGACAGTGAAAACAGAATTAGTATGCCAAATTAGATGGGTGTATATAGGAGCGTGTGGAATGACTTCATTCAGTTCCCAATCCCACATGAATTCAACTTCTCGTTTTTGCTTTTGGATTTCACAGTTCTATAGTTTAAGGGCTCCAATTTAGCCTAACCAGCGGCTAGTGTATGATAAAAGGCTTGTTGCTTTATGGTACTCCTTCCNAAAACAACAAACATCTTAAGCATGAGCCTCAATATGGCTATTTAGTACCTATTTTTCCATTTTTATCCAATTTCCACCTTTGATCATATAAAGCACCTCCTGCCACCCATTTGGACTGACATGAAATGCTCCATAATCAGAGCCCCAGAAGTGAGAATTGAACCCTTTTGTCTACTGATGAATCAGTTTTTCTGATGCTTATATCACCTCATCGAGTTTCTGGAGCATGAGCATAATGAAGATTTTGGTCCAAGAAACTGTAGCTGACTATATAAAACAAATTAGATATAGAAACCGAAGGAACCCAATATATCCCTCTCAAAAGTAGGGGTTGGGAGGGGTAGAATGTTCGCGGACCTTACCTCAACCACTAGGATCAAGAGGTTGTTTCCATTAAGATCCCCGACTTGTGCATGATGCAAAGGTGTGTGCACGATTCAATGGTGAGCAAGCAGATAATGTAATGAGGTAAACCAAACCAAACATACACAGTATATCCCACCAGAAGGTAGCTTAACAGAAAAACAAATAACAACTAGAAGGCATAAATTTTCATACTAAATAAAAATTCTGTTTCCAAACCTGGTGTCTCAAAAGTGAAACCACCAATGAACCGTCAGGTGCAGATACCTCTGACTTTGGCTGGGAAAGATCCTGCAGTGAATAACATCAAATTCATCAAAAACAGGATATACCTTCATTTTTGACAAAGAAGACACTTCCACCCAACCAGCGGTTGCAAACGTGACTTTTAAACAATTAATTAGAATCCTAGAAGCATTAAAATTATGATTTAAGACTCCAAAACAATTTAAGAACCAAAATAAATAGCTAGCTACACAAAATTATAGCAGCTTCCTCAAACCAGGAAACAAATATCTGAAGAAGGGCCTTTGCCCTAGCGGTATCCTTGTTACCAGTAAAGCCAAGCATCCTAGGAGGTCAAGGGTTCAAACCTCACCAATTGTTAGGAGGGTGCATGAATTCATTTGCCATATACAAATATTATATACTTCAGGGGGGGATCAGTCTGGATGATATTGCAAATTTGACCTTTTGAATATCCACAGTTCATGTGGAAAAACAATCGACATGAAGAAAAACAGAAGATGGAGACACGAACACAATGCTTCTCCAAAAAAATAAAATGCAAAATTATGAAAGAGTTTCTTGTTAATTGCTGCCTGTATTTAAAAACACACAGAATTGTATCAAGTACATGTGCAGACAAAACAAAAGCGTATAGCATTTCTAACCATCGTACTTGGCAATTGGCATGCTGGTGTTAATCAACCACTATACTTTCAAGAGTGAAAAAAACCAAAAAAGCATTGCCGGCAAGAACCAGTAAATTGAACCATTGTAGTTGGCAACAATGAGCAAAAATAACCATCATCTTATTAACACTTTTGCCCAATTTTGCATGTTCTTGCCAACTAAAAGGTATTGTAAAACTTTGAAATTGTAATAGTGGGTTGGTACATCCAAGAAAGAAAAAAGGTTAGGAATGCATGTTCCTCACTCCATAGATTAACAGATGGTAGTGAGAATGTGGTATGAAGTATCAAACAGATGGTAGTGAGAATGTGGTATGAATTATCAAGTGTAAGAAAAGTCACTTACTTGCTGAAATAAGGCTACCAAAACTTAACGAGTACCTCTGTACGCTAAAAGATTATTAATGCATCCCAAGTCCCAACATTCTAGCTACTCTAATCAATGGGAAGTTCTAAGGACCCAACAAATAATCTAAAAAATGTCACATAAGCCTACATTGTCATGTATAAAACAAGAGGGGATTTTTAAATTGTCAGTGTGCATCACTCTAAAAAAGTAACCAAGTTTAAGTAAAAATTGTACAATCTGACACCACAATAGGTGCAGGATGACCAATATATCAGATGTCACTGTACCCAAGATCTTACCACAAGCAAAATGTGTCACTACAAAGTATTTAGATATAATCTACAGACGATGTGATTGAAGAAAATAAGTTCATTTAGTGCCTATACATGATTACAAATTGACAGTTTGTAGATATCTTGTGTTAATGTGCTAGGCTATTGACCATTCTAATTGCTTTAAGAAAAACAATTTAAAAAATAAGGAGAGCATATATGATTTCAAGCTCCAACCAGTACCTATTTAAATGGTTCTTTTAGCCAAATTGCTTACAGAATGCTAGGCAAACATCCAAAACCAGCAAATCCAGTTAGATCACTTGATTTTTCAAAATAAAAAGGGAAATAATTAATGTTACATAAGCAATTTATCAGATCAGGACAAACAATAACAGGCTTAGATCTTAAACAACAGGACACTGCAATTTTTTAGCTGCATGATCCTGAATTATTAGACGCACCTGCAATGCAACTCGATAAATAAACCGTTCATCATTCGCCTTGAGCCTTGCATTGTTAAATCCCATGTGAGTTGGGGGAGCACTAAGAGAAGACCTTTGTGCAGAGATAGGTGATTTCCCATCTACTGGAGACTGTTTCCTGGGTGCAGGTTCACTCATATCTTCTAGAATACATATATCAGGGTCATCGACATCAATGTAGGTAACATTGCCTGATGCACTGTTCCCAACTGCTTGATGGCTGGTTTTTGGGGGAACGGAACCCATATTAGCACGTGCCACAAATGTACTCTCTCTTTCTTCCTTTGTAGAAACCTGCTGCTGCTCGATTGAAGCATCACGCTGGACAAATGATTTTGCTAGCGACTGTTCATTCAGACAACGATTGTCAGCAAATGCACCATTGCTCATGCAAGTGTTATCAATGATATTGATAAAATGGCGAGAATGTTTGGCGTCCTGTTCTCCCTTTACAGCATGATCCTTTCTTGAGACAGAATCAAGGACCCCAGAAAAGGACTGCAACAAGTCCTTATCAGTAAATTGCCAATCAGCAACGTCATAAGATTTTTCACTATCCACATCATCCACAAGTTCAAAGGACTTGTGTGCAGCACCCAGTGCTGCAACAGGCACGTCACCTTTTGCATCCATTATAGAAATCATTTGTCTTCTGTTTGGTAGCATACAAGTGATAGACCCTTTGGCAGGTGTATCAGTAGAACTTTCACTGCTTGGTAAGCAAGTAGTACTGCCTTTGGCACTGAMATATGATCTGGTACCAGAGCTTTGATACACCAAAGATCCTCCACGGATGCTTTCAGCTTGGGTCTCGTCTGATGCACTGTTTATGGATGCATTGTGCATTAGATGCTGCTCTGATGCAATCTTATCATTGTATAACAATCCATTATTATAAATCACAGGATGAGGACCTGAAATTTGGTGATGCCTTGACAGGCCAGAATAAGATGGTTCACTTTCGTTCATGATATTTGGCATAGAAGATTTATCATCAGGGTTGCATGGAATGTCGGAATATCCAGTGACATCATTAAATGGGGACTCCACACTGTCATGGGCTTCTGATGTTCTACAATGTTCTGCAACTGAGTTGCAATATATTCCATCAGCTATCTGATATTTATCCATTCTTTGATGATCACCATTACCATCACTAATACCAAAAGTCCCACCTCTAGCAGCTCTCTCAAAGTTGGTTTCCCTAGTGTCATAGTGGCTAGATGATGAAAAACCTCGAGAAACTACATTATTTGGTAAGCAAGAAGTGCCATCACCTGGTGGAACTGGCACCATCCAATCACCAGGGCCCCAAGAAGAAAAGTGCATGGAGGATACATCTGGCATAGGTCCCACTTTGGTCAACCCGTGATTATCTGTCTGCCTCTCACAATCAGATGAACCACTTGAACAAACAGTTCTAGAGGCTGAAGCTTCTGAGTGATCTAATGGGAAAAATGCAAGTGATCAGGTTTAGTTGACTGAATTATAAGTAATAACCCACTATCTGCAATCATAAATCTAGACAGCATTTGACATATCACATGAAAGAAATAAGTTCATTTATGAGAAGCAAATATTACCATCGTGGGTTTGGGAGTGCTCGATAACACCAATATGCAAAGCTGACTCATTACAAGGTGCGATACTTAAAGAAGGATCCACAAATGCGTTCTGAAAAATATATATCGAGTAGTAAGTTCGGAACTTTTCAAGGGAAAAAATCCACCTCCTCAAACACAACATCAAAGAAAAGTTTGTCTAGATCCCTTTTGCTCATCTTTCACCATTTAGTCAATTAAAGGCCAGATATATTGGCCTGGACAAGGAGTAAAAACGAAGGTAGTCCAGAAAATAACAAGCATATACGTATATAGAGTTTAGTTTCACGAAGTGCAATGCTTGTTAAACCTCATCCCACCTCCATTGAAAAGACGGGAGGCAAAAAGCACATAATTTATGGTTATAATTATAGAGGTACCCTACAACACCATTAAGGCTCTCTGTTCTACTGCAAGTCACTTACTGATTATTCATCAAATAAAATTAAAATAGTGATTCTTATTTTCGACATTGACTACATAAAGTTGCATACCCTCTGATGAATGAGAATGTTAAAAAGTACAGATGCACTGAAAAAGGTGACCATCATATAAGATAAACTTGGGAATGGCCTAAGAATTTTACTCAACCTCGTGCTATAGGTAAAAGTATCTTTAATCTACTTACTACTGATTTTGCTGTATTCTCCATAAACGACACATGTTACTAGGAATAGATCTCTTTGAGGCTATCAACTGTAAAAACTAATATACTGTGTAAACTATTGTGATTTCCTTGTTCTTTAATCTCCATTTTGTCATATTCCAAGTGCAATTTAAATCCTTACTCAATGTGACTACTTTGTTACATAATGAGTGAAGGGCCAAAAATGGTCATGCATTTAACAACCACTAATCCTCTCACACAATATTTATTTTTACCATAAACTTATATGAATGTTACATGGTTAGCCCGAAAAACACACAGCTCACAACTGATATTTGGAACAGTATTATGATCTGCAGTACATAAAACCAACGGCATCTCGATATGTACTTCCTGGCAATAGTCTCTTTCAGTGTACAATTTTGGTAAAGGAATAGTTGTATGCATATACTGGTATAACCTTAAATATGCAGTTTAAAGAATTGAATTGCTCAACAAATGACTGAACAAAAAGGGGGAGTGGTATGCATACTAATTAGAATGTCGCCAAACATAGTTTCTTTAGTGTCTCTGCTTTCTTTTATTTACTTCCTGCATTCCTTTGGCCTTTTGTTTACTTGACACTTTCTATTTGGCTTGTACTTAGCACCTCATATCTCCTTGGCCCTGACCAATTTCTTAAGAACAATGAGAAACACAGCTCTTTGTTTCTCACCAACTCTGCACTTGAAATAAATTAAAATAAGGAAAAAGCATGTCTTTACGTTTCTCCCTAGTCTCCCCCCCCCCCCTCCAACAATCCTTCTCTCAGCCAACAACAGACACCAAGATGACTCAATGCCACCCCTTGGTGCCATCCGAGGTTTCATCAGTTGCCATTGGCATCCTATGAAGTCCCAAAATCCGTCCTCTAACTTCTCAATAGCTTTGTAGGACTCCAATCTACCTTCACCAAGTTAAATTAGCTTTGACAGCATTCATGTAGACCCATCAGAACTTGTACAAAACCATATGACCTATGGTGAAAGTGAAACCCTCCTTAAGTAGCTTCTTAGGGTTCTGATCTGCCATCATGATTTCAAATCGACTTCCTTGGGTTCTAACAAGGTCACACCACAACAATCTGTTCACCAAAATTTGGATCAGTATTATAGGCGTGCAAACACACCAGGATCTTGGTTTTATGATAAAGAACATGGTGAGTATGGCCAGCCAAAGAATTCAGTAACACTGATTTAAACATACTTGTGAAACGTTTATCAGACTTCATAAAAAACATATAGAACAGTTGAGGGGAAAAAAAGATGACTCTGGTCTTCTATACAGCATAACTTCTACAGAGAATTTATTTGGGATTGGAAACCATTTAAAGACAAACTACTGTGAAAATAGGCACCACTAACCCCGATTTTAAACAAATAAAGCATGCATAGACTTCGCTACAAACCGCATCTCATTGTTTACCCACGAACTTTGTATATACAAAAATTCAACTAAAATCAGCCCAAATTACTAATCACTAGCCCTACAAATATAAATACCACACTAAAAGAAGTGAAACATTCAACACATTGTGCAATTTCACATAAACCATACACTAGACATGAAACTTAAAGAAACTCCCAACATCTGGGATCAGTAGCCTTCGAATTCCAATATTGAAAAACCAAAGTGATGTCTAATTCTCCAAGCAAACACATGCTTGAACATATCAGCTAGTTCATAATCACGCAATGTTACAGCAAGGCATCAAAATCCTATCCGCCATTTCCACACAAATTTACAAGATCATACATATGCACAAATAGACTATCTTACATGTTTCCAGTAGATCAACTCTAAATAACTTAATCACATAAAAACCATTAACAAATTAAGTCTACCTGTGAACAATCATCTGGGGGTCTCTCTTCAAGAATACTAAAAAACGATTCGATGTCCATGCTCATCGCACCGTCATCAGCAGTTAAATCAACATCATCATCCACATCAAATTGCCATTCATAGGAGGTACCACCGTTTGTCATCATCATCAGAGCCACAAAATCATACAATCCTCAAAAACCCTACTTTTTTCTCCGCGGTTGTTAGTAATACAGAAATTGTTATCACTTGGAAACCCCCCTACTTTTCAAAAACAAAAATCCCAAAGAACCTCAATTTTACCCTCGATTTTGCCCTAATTCTACACGATCAATCAAAAACGATCTTGAGATGTACATCTGTGGAGGGGGGTTTTTGTGAAATCATGAAGAAAGTTCTTTGTAGTTTCCTTGGGTCATGTTGTGCGACTTTTTCCCTCGGTTGAAGGTTAAAGATTTGGAATCAACGCGTGACTTTTGCTGTTTTTAATTGCTTTTCCTTTCTTTTATTTAATGTGTCTCATTTCTTTATCTTCTCTCTTCATGATGTGTTTCTTTCATATAAATCAGATAAATTTACTGTAAATATTCATATCCAAAAAATGCCCCTTTCAATGGTCGAATATGGGTATCAATTTATGGTTGGATTCATCCCAAACGGAATATAAACGACATCACTTTAGATTTTAAATTTTGAATAATAAAACCAGTTTAGATATGATTTTGAACTGATTTGAAGCGAAAATTGGTTGTTTGAAAACCTAAGATTGAGAATCGGTTTTCAGAAAAAAGAAAACATATAACCAAATGCCAAACCGAATATGGTTGGTTACAGTCCAATTTGATTTTTCAATTTTATCGATTCAAACCAATGTAGGTCTTAGAGTTATCACATACCTTGTGGTGTTATATTTTGAGTCGTGCTGCAGCTTATGTTACTTTTCTTTGTTGTTATCATCACTCTTATAATTTGTTACTATTTTGTTTGAAAACTATGATGTTTGTCTTATTGATCAATCCTAATCAAGGCATACCAACGATATTGTTTTTTGTATATCATGGTATTGACATATTAATTGAAAGCAGCCATTGGCATAAACGAGACATGATTTTGGATTAGACAATGTTGGGTCGACCAACTTGAGGGTAATTGAATGACCTTTCTAGACTACTTTGGCTTATAAATTACTAACCGATTCAAATTAGTTTCAATGAATAACTCAACTTTACATATTACATGTAAATGATGTAAAGACTTAAAAGGAGAAATGAGTTTGACCAGCCTGATTGGATTGGGTTGATTTGAGTCTGACCTACTTTCAATCCAACTATCTTGACCTTTTAAGTTTTAGGCATTGTTTGGACTCTGATTTAATGAAAGTTGGGTTATTCGGTCTATTTTTTCAGGTTGGATCCAATAAGCAACCATCAAAATTAATCAAAGCCATACAAACATATTTCCACCATTTTGAGATATGATGGATGTGGTCCATTCAAATCTAGACATCCTAACACAAGCTAGTTAGCCCCATGCATGAAGCTATATCATCGGTATTTTGACGTTTTAAAAATGCTAACATCTTTTTATTAGGGCGTTTCTTAGCATGTTAAATGTGAGATTTTGAAGAAAGCTTCCGAAAATTTGGGAACCAAATTTACATGTGGGTCTTTTTATCGACTTGTTTAAAACTATAGCCGAAATTATTTAGGTTCAAACCATTACTTATTTGGTTTTAGGTTCAAATCATTAATGGTTTAGGTTTAGTTTCATATTGTTAATCGTTTTAGGTTTAGCCTATTTTTATTCTTAACATATATTATCTGTCATCTCATTTATGTAATATAATCAAAAGTTTTGGATGTAGCAGAACCTCCAAAAAAATTAAAACATCCCTGTTTTTTATGTTAGATGATCCAAAAGAAATGCACTGTTTTAGTTTTAATATGATTGCAATTTAGATTAATGTATTTTTTTTCAATTAACAATCACTATAGAAGATATAGTAACATTCATTTTGCTTCTTTAGTTTGCATGGATCTTTTTATGGTTGAAGTAATAATTAGTAAATAAATAATTTTTATTTTTATTTTTTCTATTTTGAATGATTTAATTTTTAAACTAATTTTTTGAATGAAAAAATTATTAAACTTTTTTATTTTAAATGATTAAGTGTTTGAACTGTTTTTTTAAACGAAAAAACCATCAAAAAATTTCATTTTACTGATTAAGTACATGAACATTTTTCAATAAATGAACTATCGCACTTTTAGAAATTGGTTACCTATATGTTTTTAACCAAAAAAGTTACATTAACCGACTAGTAAAATTTCAATGCTTTATTTATTTTTTAAAAAAATTCAGGGTATAAATCTTAAAAAATGTGAAAGTTGAATAGTTTTTTCATTAAAAAATTAATTCAAAAACTTAATAATTTAAAATAAGAAAGTTTAATGATTTTTTGTGATAACTTGATCCTAGTTATCACCCAATATATTTAATACGTGATTATCTGATTAAATGATTACGTGATAGCATGGTAAATTGATATGTTTGATCATGCTAGTATGTGAAATTGTGTATTAATTGGATATATATATATATATATATATAAATGCATGATATATGTGTATATATGCATAGGTATATATGTATATGTGATGATGCATGTGTATGTGCATATGGGTTACATACATGCATGGGGGATTTCTTTTGTAAACTTGCACATGGTATATGGCTCTAGGAGCCGACTTTCCCTAAAGGGAAACTAAAACTGTCACAACATGTCTCTAAACCGTACACAACAAAGATACTTAAACCGGACAATGCATATGACTAAACTGCACACTTCAAAGATAAACCGGATAATGCATGTGACTAAACCGCACACTGCATATAGCTAAACCAGACACAACGAATATCTAAACCGATTACAGCATAAGTCTTAAACCTGTCACAACTTGAGGCTTAAACCGATCACAGTTTAAATCTTAAATCCGTCACGACTTGAAGCTTAACCCGGACACAACTATGAATGTAAACCTGTCAGCTTGAATGTAAACCGGACAACTTGAATGTAAACC